CGCTACTGAGTGGTCGCTCGAAACTCATGTTTCCTGAATAAGCGATTACGGGGCACTTTTGATCTCGTACTGACTTACTCTGGTTGTATTGAGCTACGTTTTTCTGGCAATGCGTGGATAATCAACCTTTCCTTGATTGTCAAGCTTTTGGGGAATTTTAGCATTTCCTTGATCATCCTTGATTTCCTTGAGTCTTTAGTCTATCAGACTAGTTTGGTATTCAGACGTCCGAGGGACATTTTAGGGAAACTCCCTCTGTGTATAGTTCCCCCTATTTAACCCAGCCGAGGCTACTCACTCATTAGCTATAGTGTTGAGTTGATTAACTCAGGGGTTAATTTGTCGCAAACCGACTCAGTTGGTTGTCTAGGCATCGTGTCTTTATCTTGTCAAAGTGTTGCTTTAGCTACTCTCAGTTTATTACTGTATTACAGTTGCTTAGCTAAGCCGCTTGTGTATTTTTTCATCAGCGATCATTGTCATATGGATTGGGATTTTGATCTTTTATAGTGTCGCCTATTGATACAATTAGCTGTATGAAATAAACCTGGGAACCTATTACCACGTTTCATTATTACTTTATTCTTGTCTAATGACACCTGATCATTGGAGTACAGCCTCGTGACAGTAATACATGTTGCAAAAATAACGTCATAATATTATGGAGATGTTCCATAACATCTTAGAGGTGATCACAGAACTTTAAGATATTTGGAGATATCCACAATATTTATCACAAAAAGGGGTTACAACAATTTTCACTCATGACGGACTTTATACCGGTGTGTTCATATTCTGATACTTCCTTATGTTTCATGGAAACTTAAGCTATGCATTATGGTATATCTCGAATTTCATTGACAGGCATTTGAAATTACTTCAACCTGCTTGTTGAAACATGTCATAATGCCTGGATAAAAATAATTGTCTTTTTCTTGCTTGTCTATTTGCATGAAACTGCTGTTATAAAGGATTCAAAACATGTATTGTTGCATTCATAATTTAGCCAGCATTTCGACATTGCCTGTATTTGTTTGTTATATCTTTAATCGTCTAAATGAAAATAGGACGCGGAAGAATAAACGAATTTCATAAATGTGCTATCGGGACTTTTCAAAGAGCGTCATACGACTCTTGGTCAAAAGTCGTTTGATCAAGGATATAACAACATCTGCCACAGTACAGCTTTCAGTAAAGTTTATGTTTGACACGTGGAGACATTTCCAAATTTGACGCATCTGTGACAAAAATGATGTCCACTGCAGTTCCATAGTTTGTCTTGTACCATCTGTTGCGGTTTTTCAGGTGAACAATTCACAAACCTTTGGGTGTGTTTGTGAAGTGTTCCAATTACGGACAGGATACGTTCACCTTTTTGTGAACAACTTAAGCTTGTATCATCACTACTTGGTAGTGATTAATAAACACATGCTAATGATCAGGGACAATAATGATGTCCGCTGCAGTTCCCTATTTGACTTGTACCACCTGTTCCGGTTTTTCAGGTGAACAATTCACAAACCTTTGGGTGTGTTTGTGAAGTGTGCCAATTTCGGGACCGGATACGTTCATCACCTTTTCGCGAACACCTTGTAACATCACAACTTGGTAGTGATTTATAAACACATGCTAATGATCGTACAATCATATTTGTTTTGTGTTTTGTCCCTTCTACTTAAGCATTGTTACTATGAACTTTGGATGAAAATAGCTTTGTGCGTCTCGATGGAGAAAATTGACCACCCAGTAAAGTCAGATTACCAGCTGTCCATATTCCATAGCTGATATGAATTCAAGCCAATTGAGTTGTCAACCAATATCCGCCGAAATTATCATGTTCATGAAGGTCACATTTAGAACAAACTACTTATTATGATTGCGAACTTGGCTTCATTTATTATAACACAATTCTGTCATATCCGATAACTTGTCCTTGTTTGTTGAGAAAGCGGAAAAGTGTTGTCACTTAAAACAGGATACTTTTTGATCTCATCTGAAAACGGAGATATGATGTATACATCTATGAATGCACAATGCCATATAAAAAGTGGTCAAATGCAACAAATGTTATCTGTAATCCTAATTATAACATTTGTAACTATTTACGAAGCTGGTGAATGGTGTTACAATATATTACGAATATTTCTTTCAATATTTGATTGAGTGTAAATTATGTTTGACGGCGGTTTGAACTGTCTTTCATTGTTATCGACTTGTCCATTTGTCTAATGGCTGTCATTGTCACTGTTACAAATGCAAAACAACTGCTTCTAAAATATCTGGGAGAAGATGTGCTCGATAGCAAATACCGTTTTTGTGTCATAACCGAGCGCATAGAGTAATTGATATTGATATATCAAGCCTTTGAGGACGATGACGGTGTCTGGCGAGCTTAAAAGTCAAGATTGCAAAGCACCGCAACACGATGGATTGGGACATTTGTATATAGAGGCAGGCGGAAAACTGATGCACCGTCAGCGAACATTCACGTGTTCATTAAAGTTATTAATATATCTCACTGCAATGACATAATATTTTACGACACTAGAGAGTTGCTTCCCTTTGATCGCGCATACGCTTGGTTTGGTGCGTCCAACGCTGAAAGTACCGATCACTTTTCAGGTGACTTGCCTTTGTATGTGTTTGAGATAAACACATGCTTGTCATAAAGTCAGAATCGTACATAGCAGAGATTTCTTATTTTTATGGAAAGGGTTTTATCGCTTTTATTTTCATTAAAGTATCACGTACACTGTCTGTAATTCATTGTATAACAGTATTCTGATTCCTAGACGACCAGTACCTGTTTTATCCTATTAATTCCGCCAGGCAGGGTAGCAACAAGCATCATCTCTTAACGAGTTTTGGTATCGCGTTGCCGGGGGTCGAACCACCGACCTTCGTTCTCCAGACAAAGACAGACCACCCTCATCAACGAAACCAACACGATGCAACACATTTCTACATAAAGACCTCCTGTGACATCACAAAACAAACCGGCATTAAGTTAGTTAGTTTTGACCCGTACACCGCCATGGTAAGAGATTCGGTAGCTTACGACTGGAATAACCATATGAACAGTTAATATATCTATTCTGTTAGGTCATGGTTTCTGAAACATGACATGTGCACGAAATACCAGGAGCAACGAGTGGTATATTTAAGAATTGACCGTCAGTTTGGATATAAAAGCGCTGGTTAAACTTTCGTGTGAACCTCCTCGGAAGCCTGGAGGTTCACACAGTTTAACCAGCGCTTTTAAATCGTTCACACTTCAAAGAACCCAATTCAGTTTTTATAATTTCATACTTTGTAGTTTATTGGTCTCGCCTAATAATATCGTAACAATGTTTGCTTAAATTTGAAGTTATCTGGTGTCGCGGAAGAACATTGCAACAATGATATGTTGTTGGTATTTGCCGGCAATCGGTCACATACATTTCCCCACTAATACTCAGTTACGCAAAGACAAATAGTTCTTTGAATATATATAGAACATAATCTGAAAATATGTCAACATCATCAAAATTTTATTCTCTGAACAATTTGACAAACGATATTTGGGATTAATCAAATCTTAAAAATAGGTAACAGGAAAGTGAACAAAAATATAACATGACTCGATGCACCAAGGCGAGGTCAACCATCAAGTGCGGATTTATATATGACGTCACACAAGTTCATGAAGTTTATGGAACAGTTATGGAAAATACCCCGACGCATGAACCCTCCCATGGCACTGGCAAATTGGGAATATGACTGATTTATGAATGTGTTGCTTGTGTTTGGATAATCGCAAACCAATTCGGACGATGTGTAATGGACTGGTGGCCATGGGGATTGAACGGAGTGTTGTGAAACTTGTGTGTTTTGTGTTTCATTGTCAGGATGTGATATATTTGGAGTTTGGGATTTGTCGTGTGTGCTGTAATACTTTGCTTAGCTGGTGTTTGTCACCTGAGATGGACCTACTGTATGACCTGATCGAAGCTTAATTTCTGTGCCCCGTCCTTCCTCACGTGCCGCCGCATCTCGGCCTAGAATGCACGGAGAAGTTCGGCAAACTCGGAATTGAATTCCGTCTACGGATATTTTCTCTCCACCGATGACCAATCGGTAAAACAGGTAGGCAAATTTTTGTTTTTTTTACTTTAAGTTCCTTTCCTTTCCTTGTTATGTCTTACTTTTTTTAAAGCTAGATTAATTTTATTTGGCTTACCATTAACCTTTTCAGAGCCTATTAATTTAGTGTGTTTCATTGTATATTTGCTGTGTCTTGGTTTCCCAAAATCTTGGAGGGTTTTCTTTCGATACGATAGTGAATCGTATTTTAGTTTGGGATTGATCAGGAGCAGTCGCTTTGATTTGTGTCGGCAGCTACATCGGAAAAGGGTACAACATTGTTTTCATTTGCAATGTCTTGGTACAAGATTCCGACCGCCTCCATAGTCTAATGGTAGAGCGTCCGCCTGGAGAGGAAGGTCCGGGATTCGATCCCCGACCGCGTCATACCAAAAGACGTTAAAAGATGGTACTTGTTGTTACCCTGTCTGGCGCTCGGCATTAAGGGGCTGAAACAAGGACTGGTCGGCTCGGAGTCAGTATACTGTGTCTGAGTGGGGTATTCATGTTAAACTGCAGCATGGAATCTCAGTGAGCTAGCACTATAAATCGGCATTATGATCAGTCCGGACTAGTACAATCAGCCACACACACACATACACGTACATGCACGTCGCTATATAAGTGCAATAATCTTGGACGCGACGTTAAACCCCATTTCAGCTCACCTGGTGCAAGATTCCTGTCATTTCCGAAAACAAGGTATGAAAGTCAATATCGCTCAATAAATCAATTACTTTCACCTCAGTAATTTTACAGAATTCATTTTCTTCACTTGCGTTATTAGTATTGATAGATAGCCATTCCATATCACCGGAAGGACGATCCATGTTGTTTCATGTAGCAGCTAGACGACATCAAACACCAGAACCAAAACATTTATTATTTATTAGTCTGATGAAAGGTTACAAGACCAGGCAAAAATACTAGATTAATTATATTGCTGATAAATACATGGATTAAAAAGAAAATAGAAAAACGAGTTGATCAAAAACATGGATCGAGAATTCGGGGCAACGCCGGAAAGTAGTTCCGGCAAAAGTTCACACAAATTGTTCTCATCGTGTGAACGTTTCTGTCCGTTCACGGGTGTGCGAACTCAAAATTTCAGGTCAAGTGACTACCCCTTCAGCCAATGAGCACGACGAAACAGTGTAAACTTTAAAGAGTGAAATTATTTTGTTATAGACAATATGTGATAAAAACACATATTACAACCCTCTAGTATTATCGCTGATTTAAATCTCTTTTATAGGACACACTCTGACCTGATTGTCTGGTCCAGATTCGATTATTTACAGACCGCTGTCATATAGCTGGAATATTGCAAACCATCTGACCTCGGGGTTGTATTATAAATTAAGTCCCGATGTAATCCGTGGCATGTCAACATGTGTTGAAGCATTTATATAAATGTTACGCTTGAGTAAAGGGTAACATTTTAAAAGTCAAAAGGTTATCAATCTGATTTTATCAGGTATCAGATAACTGCCAAACAAGTGCATTTTGTTCTTTTTAATTTTTAACATTTTAATGTTTCTTATTTTCCAATGTCCCGAATTCAGTATATATTCTTGTAGGGTAGATATGTTAAAGAATTAAAATCAGATGGAATATGTCATGTATGTAAACAAAGATACATAGAGGATGAATACCGTTTTGTACTTTGTGTTATGCTTTTGGCAATCTTATGAGTTAGTATATACCCCTAAAATACTACTTATATCCAACATTACATTAATTTAATTTAATTCTTTAACATATCTACCCTACTTACTACTTACTAAAAATCCAGAAACTGTTAATGTTCTTGGAAGTCCATGCAACTATGTCAATCATTTGGTTGAACAATGTCTATCAATGTACCAATGTTTATTTGCTGTTACACTCTCAAGCAATGATGTAACTGTAGAATGGGCCTATGGCCTCCCTACTTCATGAATAAAGATAAAATACATGTAGGCTCGATGTGCCCACAACTCATAGTAATATGACATGTCAACAGCCTAAATGAAACATGTAACATGTAGTGATATCTTCATCACTTGTTGTACTTAAATACAATTTCATAAATACACGTAAACGTTCACTTATCAATTTCGACATATTTTGACATATTAACTACAACTCGCTCTTATGTTCCCTATTATGTCTACTGATCACTATGGCAATATATTTGATTATCCGCTAAAATGCATAACAATATGGCATTAAATAATACTAATAATAATAACATAGTTTAACAACAAATATATCTCAGTTTTCAAAATATATTCTTGTTACAAGGATATTACTTTCCAAACATTTGTCCTTTATAACATGTTTGTATTGCAAAGGCAACACATTTCGAAGCATGAAAAACGTGGTAATGAATATTTAACGTGGTATTGAATCACAGGAACTATTTTAACATTCCTTTCAGGTCAGTTTCTGTTTCTAACATGTTCTGTGAAGCAGTATTCTCCTGTCACTAGTCGGCAACATCTGCATCGTCAACTACGCCGTTGTTGGAATAGACTGCTTCTGATGCCAAGTGTTCAGCAACCATCTTGTAGTACAGCTTGTAATTGGACTTAAAATAGAAACAAACCATACCTTTGGTGATGGGAAAGAATTGATTTATCCGACACTCGATTTGTTCTTGGTAAAGAAATAATAAATGAACAAAATACTTCTTTCGGAACTGAATGTGCTTATCACCATACATACTAGAATAAAGTACTTGAGGGCGTAATTAGTTTTTGGAATGAGTTCTATGAGGTAGATAAACACATGCAGAGACATATGTACCCACATATATATAGCACAGACACACATATCATTTGTGAGTGAGTGAGTTAAAGTTGAACGTCACATCGGCAATATTTCAGCTATATCGTGACGACATATCATTTGTAATATTATTGAACAGTATGCATAGTAAGTTGAATTGATATTATTTCTTACATTATTGCACATTAACTAGGCATGTATTGTTAACTACCATGTATTGTTTATGTATCTTGAGTGCTCATCATATTACTAAATGAGTTTACTCGCTCTTATTTCTGATATACATTTCTTTCTACTGGAGGTACCCATGAAGATCCGGGTTTGGATAGCGCATGCCCAAATCTCCCAGGAACATTCCTTGACGTCAGTGTTTACATGAAGTTATGCATCCGGGAATCAAGGTTATCTCCCCTGTACCACAGTCTGAACATTACTGATAATATAGGCAACGCACATATATATGTATGGGTAGCGTGTTGTATGTGGTACATACATCTATGTAGCAAGCGTTGATGTAGTCCCCGACCCCAGGATAATCGGGATCAACCTGGAGAACAGCTCGCGAGTTGCATGTGTTTATCGTCACATACAGCAATATTCCAGCTATATGACGGCGGCTTGTAAATAAGCGAATCTGGACCAGACAACTGCAGTTATCGACATCATGAGGAACGATCGGTCAAAGACACACAATCAGCCAAGTCACCGGACCTGACCATCCATGTCCATCTGGCCACCTCGTACGACAAGCATAGGTTGCTAGGGGCCTATTTTAACCCGGAATGCACACGGGGGTAAACTGGCTAAAACGCTACACATGTTTGTGAATAAGGGAATCGTGTCTTCAGGACGTTTTAAAGAGTTTGACGTAACATGGTACAAAGCGTGAAGCTGATTACAGACGATGATAATGGTTTGTGAAACCAACGAGCAAGGGGATGATGGTAATGAATCATGATTGAGATGAATGTGGGATTAGTACCCATGACGTAACTCTTCACAGTTTCTCAGACCACCAGGCCAGCCATGATACTTCACATCGCGACATATGGTCCAGTTCAGATAACAATTTGGTTCGAGATTTTAATGCGCAGCACTAAGGAATGGGTTTCAAAACTTAATAAAATTATGCATATAAGTGATAATGTGTCCACTAATAAAGTGTTTAATTGTTTAAATAGAGGATTCATCACTCGTGTTTTTTTAATATGGGAAATATCAACCGAGTCTTAGTTAATCGGTATTTGCCGAGCCTTTGGCGAGGCAAATACCGATTAACGGGACGAGGTTGATATTTCCCATATTAAAAAACACGAGTGATGAATTCTATTTATCATTTTCACATTTTTGCTTCCAAATTAAGGAATAATTGCATTAAACATTAACATCAGCAACTTGTCGAAATCTTACGTATAGATCGTGCGTAGTGATACATGTTTTCCATAGCCATGTAAACCAAAATAAACAATTCGCTGAGAAAAAAGTTGCTTGGATTATTTTAAACAAAATACTTGAACTGACTTTTGCAGAATAATTGAAACTTTAATAACGGTAACAACAACGATTCTGTGTAATCTGATTATATCTCTGGTGTAACTTCACTTATAATATATAGTTTCAAATCAAACCGCTCGCTCTTCCGGTTATCTAATTTGCATATCTAATTTGCATACTTATGTCATTGGGGTATGACATACATGTTTTTATGTCATAAGCTTATGTCATGGATAAATGCTTAAGTTAAATGATAAATTGCTTTACAAATTTATTGACATCCGTGTTGGTTCACAATGCGTCTCCAGCTCTTTATATGCAACGTCAAGATATGAAAAAAATATTTCTTGAAACGTTAACGCCAAGTAAAAACGTATATTCACCGTCACAAAGCTGAAGTAGGCCTACTGAAGCATATTCTAAAACACATTTAATATACATTAGTTAATTCCATGTGATTAAATGACCCATATTTAACACATATCTTACATGCGCAGATGTTCTTGTATCTGTTTTTCTTGATATTGTGAGCAGCAAAGGCGATGCTGTGGTCATTGATAAGGTCCTTCGGAAGTTTCTGTGAGGTTGTGAGGTAGTGACAGTAACTTTATACCATTTATTATCCACGATGATGCATTGCCATCGATAGCATCATAACCGCCTTGTTATTAATGTGATCGATCTTACCCAAATCATGTCATGGAAATTATTTGTTGGATTTGTTTTGATACATTTACATATTAACAAACAATATATTGATACATATTTACAAACAATATATGTTTACATATTTACAAACACTATATCTTTCCATATTTATAAACAATACATTTGCAAATCAAACATCAAACATAAGGCAGGGGAGTAGGAATGTATCAAATGAGTTTTCTTTCTATTCTATAACGACATGAATCATATAAAAGCTCGGAAATGGCTAGCGTCGGCGACTTTAAATTACAATTACATAACGAAAGAAATGTTGAAATTTGTAGATCCATGTTAGGCACGTTCTTAACTGGATATTATCCTTGAAAATACAAGCTGGGTCTTGTTTACCTGACATTCGTCAAAAAAGTGCTGTTTCTTTGACCGCCACTTTCCGACGTACTCTGCGAAGTCGCCCAGGGACACTGCCGTTGCTGATCTGGATATATCAAGCCTTTTCACCAAAACTCGTTCGTATGTATACATCGATAGCCTACATATCGATCCATAAAAGATGGCTGCTGATAACCCATCATTCGATTTCGATGTTTTTGGTGACGATTTTGACATGCAAGAGCTTAACCATGACTGGTTGGATGATGAGAGGTCAATGGATCAGATGGGAACACCGAAAAGAAGGTATATCGTTTGCATACAAACTATAACGTTTTTAGGAACAGGTTCGTTAATTCCCACTCTGAATAAAATAACAATTAACTACGTAAAATAACTTTAGCTAGAAAAAAAGTAAGAAAAACTTCATACATGACAAAATAGTGTTACCAATTTTCAGTATATGTAAACTTAACCTACAATGTAATTACTGTCCATTAGGGCAGGGCACTGCTCCGACAGAAGCGACAGCACCTACACTGACTTGCGAGGGAATGACGTCTGCCGCTACCAATGACTCTCGCCACTTCGTCACTTTCGATGCTGATGAGATCGAGTCTATTGTAATAAACACGAAGGCACAAAGCACCAATATAAACGCTAGTTGGGCGATTAAGATATCAAAACGTGAGGAAGAAAGATATTTAATAATTATATTTATTACTTATGTAAAAAAACAAAGAAAATATGGAAATGTTACGTGTTGAAATTGAATGAGTTGGCCACGTATGAAATGCACAATATTTACAATCTCAGCAATACAAACATATTGATAATGTAACCATTGGAATTATTACTTACCTTCTTTGCAAGTCCTCTGGTAACAGAATATTGACTTCAATTTCCAGAATAGCTTGTTTTGCGAGACAAATCACCAAGTTTTGAGACCCTTTCACCTCAGGAATTAAACAACACATTGAAAGTTTTCTACACCAAGGTCCGAAATTCCAATGGACAGTATCATTCGAAGTCCTTCTATGTTGGCATGAAATCTTCAATTCATCGCCATCTCCATCAACCACCGCATGATTATTCATTTAACATGCTGCAGGACCAAGAGTTTGTCATTACGAACAATGACTTTATGGGGATGCTTTGAAAAATTAAGAAACTTGAGTTGGATGTATCTACTCACAATAAGCCTATTTGGAGGGGGAATTGGTGAAAATCAGATCTAATCAATTGGTAGACGATCAAGTTATTCTCCAGAAGAAAGTCTGGTTTGATCTGACATTGGGATGTGGCAGGCGAGGGGTTGAAAATTAACGTGATCTCACTCGCAATTCTTTCCGTGTCGAGGTCGATGACGTTTGGAGAACGTCACAAGCACACACAGTGAGTTGATAAAAAAACGATCTTCGTGATTCGAACGAACCAAAACCACACATAAATGCCACTGGTACCCCTTTCTGTCCCGTTGCTTCATTTAAAAAGTATGTTTCAAAATTACATCCAGAAAACACTGCCCTCTTCCAAACTCACAAACACTTTCCCTATACTGACTGGTACATCGCACAGGCACTTGGCCACAACAGTTTGTCCAAAACCAATTTCAGAAGAGGCAAAGTTGACAAAACATACACTAATCTCCAGGGTGGTAGCAGCATCACACCAGCAGGCACAGTTAGTCAGCATGTTAATTTTGGACACCATCACACTCACAGTACTGGGTTGTCTTCTGGTTTCCTGCAATTCTTTAACAGTTACTGTTAACAATTTCCTTGGCAGCCATAACTGAGAGTGCAGTGTGGTGACAACCGGGACACGTTAGGACAGTTCCCAATTCAGAGTGGGGAGGTATAATTCAAACATTCAATATTCACACATTCAAAATAAGTGAAAGATTTATTTTAAATAAAGTTTGTTGAGAAAAAATATTGTTCAGCGTTTTTGTAACATTTTCTGTAACCCATATTAAGGTCATTGCAACAACCGACAATTAAAGTAAAATATAACATAATAAAATGTGTTTAAAGACATTTTATTCATGACAATATGTTGCATACAAACCTTTTTGTGATCGATATTCATTGCCATCTTCATCAACCACCACCGTTAGAATTTGGCAGGAGGGGATTTGAAAGTCCGTCAGAAAACAATGTCCCAACTGAAGTGACAGCTTATCAAACTTGATGAAATTCACTCAAAATTAAGAATCATACACAACCCACTATATCTGGGCCACAAATTTCTAAGTTCTTTCACTATCTGGCTTTGGATCCGTGACATCTTGAAACTGACAGGTCACACCATGCATATTCCTCATTTCATAATATCCGGCTCATATGGGGGCGGTCGGGTAGCCTAGTGGTTAAAGCGTTAGCTCGTCACGCCGAAGACCCGGGTTCGATTCCCGACGTGGGTACAATGTGTGAAGCCCATTTCTGGTGTCCCCCGCCGTGATATTGCTGGAATATTACTAAAAGCGGCGTAAAACCATACTCACTCACACTCATTCCGGCTCATATGCAGCCAAAAAAAGCAGCTGTTCAGTCATACTCAGTTCTATTGGTAAGCATATTGTGCCAGCAGGCTCGATCACTCCCAGTGAATCTACAGGTTAATGTTGAACCACATCATAGATCAGGGTTGTCATCTTGCTTCATTTAACTAGTTACGGAGAATGTAAACACAAGATTGTCAGCCATTGACAGCTGTGAGAATTAACTAACCGTGATGTAGGTCAAGTTCTGCCACATCCAAGTTCGGGGTGGAGAGGCATTTATTTTGATTTTATTATTGTTTACTGGGTGTAATTGCTAACTAAATATTAACACTTACACATGATAAATATATAATTGAATGTTAATTCATAAAGTTTGTTGTAGAAATATATTCGTTTAGCATATTAAAACCGTTTTCTACAACCTGTCAACCCTACAATAGTGAGTGAGTGAGTTAAATTTAACGTCACATCGGCAATATTTCAGCCATATTGTGACTCCCTACAATAGAAATGATGGCATGTTCGATTTCCAAAAAGCGACCTCTCTCACAAAATTCCAAGAAATGACAGGGTCAGTCCAAACAGTGTACAACAGGTGGACAGAAATTAAAACATCTGTCTTTGGACTAAGTTTTTCGAGTGTTATTTGTCAACTTCTTTTGAAAAACTATTTTCTTTGAACACTTATTTTGAACTCCTCACGACTATGGTGTTTTTAATCTTTAGTTACAATTGTTACATATATAACTACCTGTGACCACTTTTCAGAATGTTCTGATTGCGGACCTGTGTATCTGTTTTGTTACGTGTTGCAAAAAAGCACCATTTTCTAAGCACTTTTGCCGTCATGGTAGAATGGAGATAAACCTACTGTGTTGAAATTTGATGTAGTCCAACTGCAGAGTCGATAACTCTTTATCATAATGTGGAACCTCGCATGAAAGTGCTCAGTTCAAAAATAAAATGAAGAGGTACTACTCTGTATCTACTGTGCAGTGGGACTACATCACATTTCAAAACACAGTAGGTTTATCTCCTAATTGTGTCAGAATATGGACACCTTTATGCGTGCATACATGGCGATTAAGCCAATAATACACTGACATTTCGTACAAGAATCGTGTCGAGGAACAGGGATACAGTACTGGAAAAGTTTCACTACATTATGATTAAGTGGTGAAAATCTTACATGAACTCCCACCATTCCTATTGTTCATAAGCTAAACAGTGCTTTTCTAATAACAAGATCTGAAGACATGAAACTGTTAGAGATAACAACATTCTGACGACGTTTCAGGACTAGTTATTGCCCCTTCACCAGGTGAATACAGTGTAGGGGAATTGATTTAATATATACATATATACATACTGATGTGTGGTCACAAGTTAGGAGTGCTCGTTAAGATTATGTGGAGAATAGGCCTTCAGCAATCAATGCTTGCCATAAAAGGCGACTATACTTGTCGTAAGACGCGACTAAAGGGATCAGGTTGTCAGGCTCTCGCTGAATTGGTTTATGCATGTCATCAATCCCAATTACGTGGATAGATGTTCATGATGTCAATCACTGGATTGTAAGGTCCAGACTCAATTATTTACAGATCGCCGTCATATAGCTGGAATATTGCTGAGTGCGGCCTTAAACAACAAACAAACAACAAACAAGTTAGGATTAATGTTCAAATGTAACAATATATCTGGGACGCCAATGGGAATCCAGGTAAGTACAGTGTAAGTAAAGTATAATGTCTTCGTGTTCTTCCAACTTCTTATAGTATATCAAAGACTTCATAATCAAATAGGTGCTTAATTCTCATACATGTATCTCTATATGATGGTCAAATCAGTACTACATGGAATTCATCCACTTCCTAGTGAGAACTGTATGGACACATTTTCGACAACTTATCAATATATTTTAAATGTCCGTATAATGAATGCATCTATACCATAACTCGACTTCGTTAGACTTCTACCTTAGTACAAATGATTATAACGCTGGTGTACACGTCAAGAACACCCACCTTTCTTCGGAGTTGTCGAAGAGGAGAATTTTTTTATTGTTATCAGTTTAACTAAGTGACAGGCGTCATTCCGAACACCCTGTTCTTCTTTCCGTCCATATTTCCGTCTACAACAACACAAACATATTGATGGGTTGAAATAGACTGAGAGAAGGGAAGAAAATATCAATAGAATGCTGATCATGTTATAAAATTAAAAGGACAATTTCATTTCGATTAAATATATCAAATAAAACAAAGTAACAGTTTTACGAAACGTCTTTCCAGTTTAAATAGATATGAATTTGTGCATATGTTACGCTGCTTCTGAAATAGTGAACATACATTGGCTTGTCTTCAACGCTGTCACTTTAGGCAAGGTAGCCTGATCAACAACAAATATTATGCACTTGACTGAGATTTAGAGACAGTGCTTATGCTAATCTATGGAGATCCTTTACATCCATAGCCTGTATGTTCAAGGTTTTATATATTGATTGATTTCTCACAGCAAGCAAGTGTGATCGAACCTGAGAAGAACAACAGCAATGATGACTGCAAGGAGAATGATGAGCAGGCCAGCTGCAGCGATCCCGCCGGTCGCAGATGCAGGCATCCCATCAGCTGTAAGCACAAACACATAACGCTATATATACATATGCTGTTGCAGAAGCTGTTACGTCACTCAAGGCGGGTTAAGGGCACGAACACTCATCTTACATTTCATAAAATGTGTTCAAATGAAATTTACCAATCCTCAGCCCAATAGCTTACTTCCAAATGTAATTGTTATTGAATAAGAAGTAGAGATAGAAGATGACAAAATGCGATACCGTTTTTCGTTTTCGATCTGGAAACTATATTCAGTGTCCAATTCTTCTGAACAACATGACGCCACGCCACTTTCCTTAAAGCATTCATCTTTACATTTCCATACCATCACTTGCATATCAATATGATCCAACGCATTCTATCCATCTTCCCGCATGTTCTAATTCCAAATGTGTATACGTCATTTAATCGAAACTGATTTGAGAAAGACGCCGAGATGAAAATGAAACTGCTGCCGGATTTCATTTGTGATCTGGAATCCTTATTCAGTGTTTCCTTTTTCTTAAAATTAAATATATAAATTTGGATGTTCATTGTTAAGAAAGAGAAGATTCCATATCATATATATACATGCAAATTGATCCAAATTTGTTGAATCCAAAATGTAACAATGCCCTGTAAATCTGATAATAAACATTGGAAGGGTGACTGACCTCAGCTACCCGCGGTAATGAATACCTTGCTGACATGATTCTCCCGTCCACCCTGACTGGCAGCTGGAGCACAACCCGGTCGACCTTCCGCACCTTGTACCTGCACAATTCGGACTGCAAGACACTGCACAGCCGGGGCCATAGAATCCTGGCTCACAGTCTGGAGACATTGAGGTACACTGTATGAGACACTGGTATAATTACAGACAGACAGGCAGATATTCTTTTTGAGTCTCACATTTTGCATCCATTTGAAATAACAGGACATATAACATGTAATGTTATTATACATTACCAATTCCTTAGGGAATTATGATATACTATTATTAATCAGATATTAATACAACGATATGCGAGCTACACATACTGTCATGTCCATCAAAACGCTTATTTAAAGCTTTAAAGCTTTTAAAGCTTTAAAGCTTTAACTCTAAAATTAAGTAACCTTCAAGCAAGGGGCGTATGAGCTCTTTAATATCTTCGTGGAGTGCTCATGCTCAATGGTACGTCAAAAGTTGTGACATTTACACAGCAAACGTTAAGACTGCATCCCTCTTGTCATATAGTCTTGTGGATGGTGTCTTTGTCACTCGGAAGGTTTATGCATAGATCAGATGAGCTGGCGTCACTGGGGTCTTCTATTTCTAGTTCAGATGGGTAAATCAATGGTTCGGAATTGGCTATTTAGGAATTATCTCAGATCAACGATATCGCCGACATAAACTTCTTGGTCAAATTCACGTGCTTTGATTGTGCCAATACGAGCAGAAATTGTGATTCATTAGCCTAAAGAAACACATCAACAAGGAGGAGTATGGAATCTGTAGAGCAATAAATGGTAACTCTGAGAATATCCAGCATTTCACATATTCTTAGTAAACTTCAGTTAACAGTTGCTTTCATTTTTGACAAATCGCACCAAACTTTTAGAAGAGATGTACCCGTTTCTCTGTTTTCCAGAAATGTTAACTTTTATAGAAATGTGATGGTTTAGAAAAATGTTTAGAAGCATAGTTTAATAATCACAGAACATGTGACAAAATGTTCATTATATATATCTATTTCGTTAATGTTTGTTTGTTGCTTAACGCAACATTCAGCAATATTCCAGCTATATGGCGGCGGCGCAATAATCGAGTCTGGACCAGACAATCCAGTGATTGACATCACTGAGCATCGATCCACGCAATAGGAATCGATGTCATGCATCAACCAAGTAAGCGAGCCTTACCACACGATCCCGTTGGTCGCCTCTTACGACAACATGGGTTGCTGAAGACCTATTCTAACCCGGATCTTCACGGGAATACAGTTAATGAATCTATAATTATCAAAGACCCGATATATGTTTCCGTTAAAAGGCAGCGATGACGTTCAATAATCCAACGCAGATCGAGGGAAACGCGAGACTGACAAAAGGTCAGCACTATGCTACAATGACCAAAACGCTGACATGACATGAGTGTAAGGCTATTGGCTGTAATGTAACATTCATATTTTCGAACTAATTACAAAAACAAACGTGCGTATTTTACAATCCCACCCACCTAAATGGCACCTGTCTCCCCTCCAGCCGTCACGACACTGACATGTACCGTCCGTCCTGTCGCATTCG